AGTCCCAGGTTACAAAATCAACACACACAAATCAGTAGCCTGCTATATGCCAACAGCAGTCAAGCTCAGAATCAAATCGAGAACTCAGTCTCATTTACAATAGCTGCCAACGCTGTTAAAATGACCATACTACCCAAAGCAATCTACAGATTCAATGCAATCCCTATAAAAAGATCCATGTCGACATATCTTTTTTGGGGGGAGCACACTTGAACTCACACAGTCCCCGTTTTAGATGAGCACCTGCAGCACCTTGAGCATGCTGCCCTCTCCCCCAGGGCCTCGCTGGTGAACGGTGGAAGATCAGATGTGGACGTCGCTCCCCGCAGAGCTGACCAATCTAGCTGGTCCCATGATGCAAATCAGAACAGAAGCCCCAGGTGCGGGAAAAACCCAATACTTCAAGAGTTACAGGTGAGTGGCCAGGTTTCCTCCTGGGCTCTCTGAGGCTGCTCCCTCTGAGCAAGGAGACAGCAAGCCAGAAGGTACGGGAGGGAGCAAGCCCTACAAAGGAAAGAAGGCAGAAGGGGCTGCGGGGTCAACTCTCCCAACGCATTAACATTTTAGTAGTCAGCTTGGTGGCTCAGCCTGTAATCCCGCGCCTTGAGAGGCTGGGGTGAGTGGATTGCCTGAGCCCGCGGGTTCGAGACCCGCCTGGGCAACTTGGTGAGACCTCATCTCTACAATAAATCAAAAGAAAATTTGCCGGGTGTGGTAGCGCACACCTGTAGTTCCAGCTACTTGGAAGGCTGAGGCGGAAGGATCGCCAGGTCGAGGCTGTGGTGGCCAGGAGTGGCCACTGCACTCCAGTCTGGGTGACGGAGTGAGACTCCAACTCAAAAAAAAAAAAATTTTTTATTAGTCACCACGTGGTTGTTCTTCTTCTGGGGCTTCTGAGTACTCCATGAGATGAAGCATTTCCAGCTGAGAAAGGAGAAATGAACAAGGGAGAAGGCCAGTGCTCTCAGAGAAGCCCCTGCCACCCTCACAAGAAGGCCGGCCCGCGGTGGTGACACTGCCAACTCCGTGCTGGTGCCGACGGCACGGCGGGTGTGTGAGGCCCAGGCCTCCCCCACATGGCAGCTGCAGCACCAGGACGTGGCTGAGTGCCACGGGGGCTCTTTAGAGCCGAGGGGAGGTGTGAAGGCCCGTGGGAGTCGATGGAGGAGCTGGCGGTGCCGTCAGTGGTCCCGGCTTTGAGTCCCAGCTCTGCCACTTCCAGCCAGGACCTTGTATGCCCCCTGGACCTCACCGCGTTTCAGCAGGTTTGTCCGGGGGAACAAGGGAGACGCCCCCTCCTTGTGGGGCAGTGACAAGGGTCAGATGAGGACTCAAACTCGCTTTGGAAGCTCTGAAGCACTCTCCGTGGTAAGAAAGGCTCTCCTGCCAGGGGGGCCCCTCCTGAGCGCTGTTTCTGGACGCTTCCAGAAAAGGCCAGAACAGACGACAAGGACTTGTGACTGAGAGCAGAGGAGATGCCTCTTGTGGCCGCAACGACCCAGAACCTCCGCGCCCTGGAGAAGTGACGTCAATTGGAGGCTCCCAGTCTGCCCACACTGACCATCTGTCATCCTCTGCTGGATAGGTGGGAAACTGAGGCTCACACGGGCAGGAACTGCCCTGGGTGAAGCAGAAGAGTGAGTTCTCAGGGCCCACAGGTGCCTGACCCCCACCCAGGCCCCACCAGCCTCGTCCTAAACCACGTGGCCTCCTCTGCCAGCCCCAGCCCCAGTCAGAGAGTCTCATTTCATTCCTGACCTCTTGGCCAGCGCCCCGCCTACGAGAGCTTGCCGGGGAGGGCTCAGCCACTGATCAGCAAAGAGGGTAGTGCCACTCCCCGAAGCAGGTGTCTCTAGGCCCCCAAATCTCCTCCACGGTGGCTTGTTTACGGGGACCTCATGACAACCTGTCTGTCCTGTGCACCAGACAGGCTGCGTCCCGGGGCCTTGGAGCAGAAAAAGCTCTCAGGAAGCATCGGCGGGATGGAATCCAAGGGTCGGACTCGGGAGACGCACACAGCCGAGAACGACGGGTCCATTTTGCATAGGAGAACACTGAGGCCAAGAGGGAGACAGGGACGTCCTCCAAGCCACACCACTGAGCTGGAATTGTGAGAGTGGAAGCTGGTGCCTCAAGCTATTCCTGCCTTCCTTGAACCTCCCTGGCTTTTCATGGCTCCCAAGACCCCGGGGCTGAGACGCCATTGCGGGGGAGTTGGTTGCACCCCTGCAGAATGGGCCGGAATTTCACAGATGGAGGTTCCTGTGAACATGACCTGTGAGCGATGAGGACCGCACCTGGCCCTCCCATTTGCCTCGGGGAAACACCCTCCTCCCCTCCACAGCCTGGTCTCTGACCAGCCCTGTCTCCCCCGTGAAGGATGGCCACCAGGAAGGGCAGAAGAAAACGCAGCCTGAGAGGTGTGCTTCCAGGCCGGCCTGCTCCCGGGGCGGGGCCAGCGCTGCCACCTGGGCTCCATGCCTGCCCCAGCAGGCCCAGGCGCCAGCAGCAGGACCCAGAGGGTCCGCCTGGACCGTCTCCAACTCAGAGAGTCTCTTCTGATTTCTCTCCTCTTTTTTTGACAGAATCTCACAGTCTCCCAGGCTGGATTGCAGCGCACAGCCATAGTTCATTGTGGCCTCCAGTTCCTGGGGTCAAGCGATCCTCCCACCCCAGTGTCCCAAGCAGCTCAGTTTCTTTCTTCCTCGGCTGTTTCTCTCTCCACCTTGTTGTGAGTCTCCTCCAGCCACTCCGTCTCTTGCGTCTCGTGTTCCTCTCTCTTCTCCCTCTCTGCAAAGTTCTTTCCATCTCTGTCTTGTCTCCATGACCCTGGCTTGACCTCAGCTCAGCTCGGATTCCCCGTCTCATTTCTTACTGGATTTCCCTGGGTCTTCGTGTCTTGCTCTGTGGTGTCTCTCTTGTTTTCCTCTGTGCTGCGGCTGGCTCTCTCGCTCACTCCCTCCCCCACCTTCTTCTCTCTCTCTCTCCCTCTCCCCCTTTCTCTCATTCTGTCTCTTGGTCTTTTTCTTTTCTCTCTCTCTCTCTCTCTCTCTCTCTCTCTCTCTCTCTTTCTCTTTCTCTCTTCTCTCTTGTACTTTCTTTCTATTTCTCTCTTTAATCTCTTTCTCTCTCTCTCTCTCTCTCTCTCTCTCTCCCCTTCTTTCCTGTTCTCTCTCTTTCTGTTTCTCTTTTTCTCTCTCGTTCTCTCTCTTTCTCTTTCTCATTCTTTCTCATTCACGCTCTCATTTTCTCTGTTGTTCTCTCTTTCCCTTTCATTCTCTTTCTCACTTTCTCATTCTCTCTCTTGTTCTCTTTCATTCTCTCTCTTTCTCTCTCTCCCCCTTTCTCTCGTTCCTTCTTTCTCATGTTCTCTCATTCCCTTTGTCTCTCTTCCCCTCTCATTCTCTCTCTTCCCCTCTCTTTCTCTCATTCTCTGTCTCTCATTCTCTTTCTCGCACTGTCTCTTCCCCACTCCCCAGTGCATCCCCCACATGCTTCCCAGGGACCCTCACTTGTCAATATTGGGGAAAATGCAAACTATTGATGGAACAAGGCGGGCTGTTTTCAGTAAGTCCCCAGATGATACTAATGTGAAGCCAGGGCTGAGAACCACTATCTAAAAAGCATTTCATTGCTCTCAAAATAGAATCCAAACAAAATGGGGTGGAATAGGAGAGGACAGGACAGGATGGGACAGAAAAGAACAGATCAGAACAATCAGAGCAGAACAGAATAAATCAGAACAAAACAGGCTAGGAAAAGAAACAGAACAAGTCACCACAGAACAGATCAGAATAGATCACAGCAGAACAGAATAGAACAGATCAGATCAGAACAGAATGGAACAGATCAGAGCAAAACAGAACAGATCAGCACAGATCAGATCAGAACAGCTCAGACTGGAATGGATCAGAACAAACGAATGGACCAGCATAAACAGAAGAGAATCTCCACCTGCTGTCACCACACCTCCTCGCCACAGGCCACGGCACTCGCCACCGCCTTCTTCCTTCCATCT